GCGAGCGCAGGAATTCAAACGGCCCGTCCGGGGTTGGATGGGGAAATGCAGCGACTCAGAAGTGGTTAAACAGGAATTATCCCACAATCCCAGCATGTCTAGGTCAGGCTTTTACACATCCAGGTGTTTCTCTTGGCCATGAGGGCACAGGGAAACCTTCTCCCCCTCTCCCTGGGCCGGCTTCATCCGTGGTGGGATGGCAGCAGGGAAAGCTCCCGCCTGACTGTTCCACACACATTTCTCCTGTGTATGGAATCCAGCTTGGATTTATTTGGAACCAAAGGTAAAGCAGAAGATGGACTGCACGACTGCATTCTCTGGGAATTGCTCACTGGCTGGAGATTGGCTCAGGGAGAGTGGAGGACGACTCAGAAAACAGAAAATTAGGTCTATTGTAAGAAAATGTTTGCGATTTATAGGATTATAACAGAATTGCTCGGGGTTTAATGTTACAGAACTGAAATGTTCTTAAGAATCAATTTACTAGTCCTGGTACCTGGAGGAGTTCTCAGAGCAGGAGGATGTGGCTTGGTGACATTCCCCCCTGGTTTGCCCTTGATTGGAATTCCACTGGCATTTCATAACTTAAGTGGAAGCTGTAGCACAACAAGTGCTTTGGGGGAGGAAAATGCTATGATCCTTTCCCTCTTTTTTCTATGTTAATAATGAACAACAATCAGCTGATTGTGAGGTCAGCAGCCCTAGTTCAGACCCGGGGGAGTTTTGGATGCAGTGACCCCGAGGATGCTCCGCTCCAGGAAGGTGCAAACCCATCCCAGCTCTCCTGCCTTTTGAAGCCAACACCGTGGCTGCTCATGGGGATCTTCAAAGCTGTGCCCTTTTTTTGATGACATAAACAAACCAGGCAGCAGCAGCAGCAGCAGCCTCCCCATTATTTAAACAAGTCCTCAAATCCCTTGGCTCCCTTCCTGTTGTTTTCTTTTTTTTTTTTGCTTTTTTTAACAAATGCCAGAAGCCTTTTCTGCAGCAAAACGAAAACTGCCGGTGGCCAAACCACCAGATTTGCGCTTTTGGGCCGCGGCCTAATGGGGTGTCAGGGCTGGCTGCAGCTCTGGGGGTGGCAGATGGCTGTCCACGCTGTTCATGTGGCATTCTGGCCGCAGCACCCGTGTCTCGGCCGTGGCCGTGGCCGTGGGTGGCCGGCCGGGGCTGCACTGCCAGCTCCTCGCTCCGCACGGAGCATCCAAGGGCTGGATAGGGAATGTAGCAGTGGCTCTTATGGGGGTTCATCCATTAGATTAGGCTGTAACTGTGTTGCCTTCTGTTCAGACATCAGGCAGCACAACCTCCACGGCCTGGAGAGCAGTTATTCCCAGGAGGGAGCTCTGCTGCCACTCGTGGGGGCTTCCCAGCCCTTGGCCCTGCTGAGGAGCATCCTTGGGCAGGTGCCTCCTCCCCCACAGGGCTGTTGGAATCCTGCTCAGTCAGAAAGCTTTTCCTGGAAGGAGCCTCTGAAATCCTCCACAAGAGATTTGCTCTGCTCAGGGCTGGGGGAGCTCCTGCCTTTGGAAAACTCAGAGAGCGCCAGCCCAGGGCAGGAACATGAATCCTGGAAGGAATCAGGGGGCTGAGGTTGAGCATTTCCCAGGATGGGGAAGCTCAGGGTGGCCAAGAGCAGCTCGTGGCCACCAAGCCACGGATATGGCTCCAGCCCAGGCACCCACTGCTGCCTCTGGCTCTGGAATCCCAGACTGCTTTGGGTTGGAAAGGACCTTAAATCCCATCTCATCCCACCCCCTGCCATGGGCAGGGACACCTCCCACCAGCCCAGGTTGCTCCAATCCCCATCCAACCTGGCCTTGGACACTTCCAGGGATCCAGGGGCAGCCACAGCTTCTCTGGGCAAGCTCTGACAGTGCACAGAAATTAATTGTTATTAATGAATTATTGATCATCCCACTCTGTTTGCAAAGTGGCCCATGACTAAGTCCCGAACCTCTGGCTCCCAGGCTGCCAATTCCTGCTTTCCCACTGCAGATCCATAAGCAGGAGGAGCCCCAGGATCCCAGCTCAGCTGCACAATTGCTGGGACGATGTTCCAGTGAATGGCCCCGCAACAAACATGTTTGCTGCAGTTTGTGTGAATAAAGGAACAAAGTCACCCCGAGCTGAATTGATTCCCACATTTCAGTCCAGATTTCCAGGAAGCTTTGTCCTAATGCTGCACAAAAGAGAGAAACAAAAGGAGGAGGAGGGCAGCTAAAAAACAAATGAGTTTCCAATTTTAGAACGCGGAAAATATCTTTAAAAAGGTTGTTTGTTTTTTTTTTTCCCCAATTCAGGATTGAAATGGTTTGCAGAAATGGAGGGAATTCTGCAGCTGGAGCCGCCGGGATGGATCCCACTTGTGCGATCTTGCCCTGCTCCCTTGGTGTCTCCTCGCATTTAAAATGATGTGTTTACGAGGCTACAAACACTTTGGCAACTTGGTATTTTGCCCTCGTAAATGTTCTCTCTCAGATCTCGGGGTAGTTTATAAACATGACTGAAGCCACAAAGCACCGGGGCAGGGCCTCCCCATCCTACTGGTCCGACAGGTGTGGGAGCGGGAGCGGGGCCTGCCCGGCTTTGCTCGGGAGAGGGCAGTGCCCGGGGATTTGGGGAATTTCCTTGAAGTCACCCCAGTGGCAGGCGTGAAATAGGTAAAAAAAAGAAAAAAAAAAAAAGCAGGACAAGGAAACTGGAGGAAACATTTGCATAAAGGTGAGCATCCTGGCATCCCTGGTCCTGGAGAAGGAGCATCCTGGCATCCCGTCTGGATACCACAACAATCCTCTGTCCTTACACTCGAGGTACAACAGGATCTTGCTGCGAGTGGGACACAGTCCTGGGAGCCAAGGACATTTCTCCTCCTCATCCCTTCCAAAGGCCCCATTAACCCCTTGGGAAGCTGACTCCAGAGTTCTCCAGAGCACACCCCAAAACACAAGATGCCAGAGGGGGTGGGGAGCAGGACAGGGGCTCCCCTGCCATCCTGCTGGGGATGAGGTCAGGACTACCCTGATCCTTGCCGGTGCCATAGGATGGGAAAAGGCATGGACACGTATTCCAGGAGCAGCTCTTCCCTCTGAGCCTTCCTCTCCAGAGGTTCCTCGGGATCCACCCCCCAGCCTTGCACCCCAGCTGTGGATCTTTGGGCACCTCCACCTTTACACACCAGAGGTGCTGGGATGGGGGTGAGGACCATGCAGTTCCTTATTTGAGCATCTCCCCCTTTAATTACATTTTAACTGACAGGGGAAAATTGCTTTCTGACACCATTTAGAAGACTCAATCCATGGATTCCTTTCACTCCCCACTCCATGGGGGGCGAACGCTCCTTCCTGACGCTTTAACCTGTCTGCTCCTCACCTGGGGGGGTTAATTCTGACACACCTCACGACCTCCCCAGTCTCTTCCCGGCACGGTTCTGGTTGGATTTAGCCAGGGTTTGGGCTGTTTTCCCGTGGAGAACTGGGAGCAGCCCGGCAGCACAGCCTGGACGGTCTCTAACCGGGAATGAGCTGACGCTGAGCTCCATTCTCTGCCCCCACGAGTGTCCGGGCTGTGCCGCCCCGTCCTCTCCCCCTCCCTGCTCACCCTGCACGTGGTTGGGTGTCTCCGGGGCTAATTAAAAAGGCACATTTGCATATTCCAGACTGCGCGTTAATTATATGCTCCGAGGCTCTTGCGTGTCTGGATGCTCGGCTGGGATGAGTATCCCAAAAGAACGAGTATCCCAAAATCGCGTCACGGCTCTGAAAAGCAGGAGCCGCTCTCCAGGGGAAAAAGAGGGATCTGGGGATATCTGGAGGTGGATAAAGGCAGACAGAGGCACAGACAGATCCAAATCTGTCCCAGGGAGAATCGCTTACACGCTGTCTGGGCGCGCCGGCCCCGATAACGAGATGCAAAGCACCGTCCCGGCACTTTCCATTCAGGGATAAAGGCTCGGCTTGAAAGGACATTGAACCCGGGGGCTCGTGAGAGGAAGCATCTGATCCCGAATTTGGCTCGTGCTGCGGAACAGTCGGGATTGCCCGGCAGCCACATTCCGGCCCGGCACCCAGACGGGCGCGGGGCCAGAGGGTGTCAAGGGAGGGACAAACTGGGGACAAACAAAAAAAGTGCGGGATCCGCCGCCAGATGGGATGGGCACCCAACGCCCCCCATGAGCCAGCGATGAACAAAACCCCTCCCCGAGGCCATCGGACTGGCCAGGGGAGCGCTCACAGCACGGGCCAGAGGCTTGGAAAAGCATCTCCCGGGATTTGGGGATGGATGGAGGGCTCAGACAGCACCAGAGATTAAAGTGCCAGAGGGCAGGGAGAGATGGGATATTGGGAAGGAATTGCTGGCTGGGAGGGTGGGCAGGCCCTGGCACAGGTTGGGCAGAGAAGCTGTGGCTGCCCCTGGATCCCTGGAAGTGTCCAAGGCCAGGTTGGATGGGGCTTGGAGCAACCTGGGCCGGTGGAAGGTGTCCCTGCCCATGGCAGGGGGTGGCACTGGATGATCCTCAATGTCCCTTCCAATCCAAAGCACTCCATGATTCCATAACTCTCTGCAGAGCTCCCTACTGGAAACAGGGACTCAAGAGCCGTGGCTCAAGGAGCTGCAGCATTCCCACAGAAAAAAGCCAGGGCCAAGCATGGAAATATTGGATCTTCTGGCTGCTCTAGAAGGAGCTCCCCATCCTGCTGGCACAGCCCTACCCTGGCTGAGGCCAATTTTTGGAAGGAGACAACAAGACCCCGGGGCAACATCCACAAACCAGGTGTTTTGCCTTTGGAATTGTCCCTCTGCATCCAGGGGGCTGCTGGGATGCAGACACCGGGTGGGAGCTGCTCATGGAAGTGGAGAAAATGTGGGATTCATCCCCCACCCCATGGCAGCTGGTGTGAGGAAGAGGAGTCCCACCGTGTAACAAGAAAACAAAGTGCTATTAGAAGAAGAAATGCATTCCAGTTAAAATAAACCTCTTCCAGCCGCGCTTGGAAAAGCGTCAGGGATGTTTTTATGGGGGAAGTCGAGCGCCTGAGCTGGGCAACAAAGGCCAAACAACGAACAATAATGAATCAAAGCCTTTAACCAGCCAGGGGATGTTCCCTGTAAGTGGCATCAGGCCGTGTGCGCAGTGAAATTGGGTATTAAAAACACCCCAGTGTTTCCAAACTCGTCTGGGGCAGCGTCGTTTTCCAGGCAGGGATATCATGAGGGATAACAAAGCGTGTCCAGCTGCTGAGCAGGGCTGTAAAAACACAGAACTTTAACACTTTACAGAGTGGTTTCCTCACCCAGGTCTGCCTGTCTCGAGCCTCACCTAGAGTTCCAAGAGTTCCAGCACATCCCGAGAGCTCCTCACTCACAGTTTGGAATGTTTTACATGGAATTGCTTCCAGCGTTTCTCTGTTTCTGGGAGCGTGACTCCCACACGGAGCGCTGAGGAGAGAGAGACCAGAAAGAGGAAACAAATATTTCAATAAACCACAAAAGTAAACGAGAGGGCAGCTGGAGAAATCCAGGGGATCCAGCCAGCCCCCAGACAAAGCTGGAAGCTGGAGCAAGCGGCTTCTGTGCGCCAGGAAAAAAGCTTCCTGGGAGCTCCCCCAGGGTTCCCAAAGCACTTCGGGGAATACAGATTGTCCTTTGAAACATCTGGTGCCGAAGTCAGGGCCTGCAGATTAAATATTATGGCAACACAGAACTGGGGAAGCTGAGTTGGCCCCTGGATGGGGGACAGGGAGGTGAGGAGGGGGAAGCACAGACTTCCTATGGACCCCTCAGATCCACAGGGATATGGACACCAAATCTGCAGGTGGCTGTTCCTGATGATGGCAAAACAGCAGGGGGAACGGGGGCACAGCCTGCTCAGGGATAAATAGATTCCCAGATCCGGAGTCTGGAAAAAACAGGTTTAGAAATAACTGATCTTTTAACAGTGTTTTTCTGTCCTCCTCTCAAGTGCTTCCTGCTTTTCCTTAATGAGCAGTTTGCTCCCGGGTAACTGTCAGTGACCTGATATTTTCCTCTTCCCAGGTCTTATTATTATTACTGGGTATTTTAGAATTGGCTGTGGGATTTTCCCACTGGGAATTGTGCTGTGGCTTTGGCTGTGGTGTCACACAGAGCAGAACTTCTGGAGGTGCTTCTGGACTGGAAATTCAAATTCTACTGCTTGAACCTGGGAAGCTCAGACCCAGTGGGTAGTGATCCTTCCCAGTCTTTCATTCCCAGGAGGAACAGCAGATCATTATCAGGACGCATTATCTCATGGTGACCAGGCAAAAACCAGAGCAAAAGTCCATGAAAATGTGTAAAACGTTACTGAAGGTGACAAATCCAATGGACATGGAAGAGCCGTTCGTTTCCATGTGCAGCTGCCGGGATTGTTGCACCACGTGGGATCCGTGGAGTTAATAAAGGACAAAACTCACCATCTGGAATTGCACAGGATCCATTACAATTCCCTCCCTCAGCCAGACAGCACCAGTGCTCGGTGCTTTTCTGCACAAATGGCTTCGTCCTTCCTTTTTTTTTTTTTTAAAAAGGCAATTAAACAAATTAACGCCATTCTCGGCGCGATTCATTAAGTGAAATGAGAAGTTTCGATGCAATTAGGGAATTGCAGCTGGAAAGACGCTCCATTTTGCCTTTAAAAATCTGTCCGAGTTCATTTCCCGGCGGTTGGTTCGGGATGGGCGAGGATGGCCGGGAATGTGGTGCAAGGGCGTCACCTGCAGACAGCCTGGATCCATGGAAAAGGGGAACGAGCCCATGGAATGAACCCATGGAAAAGGCAGGAGAGCCACCAGTTGGATCCCCACCATCTCCCCAGCCATTCGGACCTGATGAACTTAAAGGTCTCTTATAACGCGATTTCAGACTCAGACAAAAAGGACATTTGATAACCCACCAAAATAAATGTTTTCGCTTAAAAGTCGCTCTAAGAACATGAACTCTGCTGAATTTTTTAAGCAACGTCGGGCACGTTCTTTAAATAAAATTACCGTTTCTGATACATAAACTAAAATTCCTCGCAAAATCTAGTAATTTGTTTTTCCCCAAGTGTTTAAGTGAAACTTCAGTGTCTTTAACTTCATACTTTTATATATATTTATACTTATATATTTATTTATATTTATATATTTATATTTATATATATTTACCTTTATACTTTTTATAGATATTAACTTTATACTTTTATTTATTTTTAACTTTATACTTTTATATTTCGATACTTTCATGTAATGTCATGTAAAGAAAGGAACGTGGCCCCTTGAATCCGAGGCGAGCGGGCAGGAAAACCTCGCTGAATCACAGAGGAAGCTTTCGGGAATCTTGGAATGCTCTTGGAAGGGACCTCAAAGATCATCTCATCCCAACTATTCCCACATTCCTGCCCTTTTCACAGGAACCAGTCCCTCCCCGTGCTGCTGCTCTTCCTCGCTTTTGCAGGAGTTGTCAGGGAATAACTCAGAAACGGGCTGTGATGAAGGCGGTGACTCGGCGGGACGGTGACTCAGGATCACGACGGCTCCCACAGGGATGACGGAGCGTTATTCCAGAGGCACGTGGTGCTGGGCACAAATTCCTGGCTCTCCCCTGCTCCGGGCTCCTGTGGAGTGGAGGGACATCATTCCCTGCGGGAAGGAGGGACAGCGGGATTGGGGCTCTGGGTCCCTGCCAGCCCCGGGGATGGCACGGCGGGGACGGGCACAGGGGCCCTCAGGGGTGCCCGGACAGGGCTTTGTGGGGGCGTCCCCTCCTGGTGTCCCCACGATGGGCCACGTCCCCCTCAGCACAAAAAGGTGGGACATCCCGAGACATCCCCCCTTCCCAGAGCCGCGTTCCCTCAGGGAAACAGCACGACCATGGCCCCGTCTGCCCCCAGCCCCTCAGCCGGGACCCACCTCCATCCCCGGGACCCGCCTCCATCATGTCCTCACCGACAGCCCCCATCCCATCACCTCCAGCCATAACCCACCTCCATCCCCTCAGCCACAGCGCCATCCCCATCCCCTCACCAGCGCCTCCATCATCCCTTCACCGACAGCCCCCCTCAGCCGCACTCTCCCCGCCGGGCGCCATTTCCCGGCCCTCCGCCCTCCCCGCGCGCACTGACACGGCACAGTTTGTGCCCTCAGGCAGCTTTTATTTCGGTTCGGGCCCCGCGGGGCAGGGACTCCCCCGAGCCACGCCGCCAGCCCGGGGGAACGGGGAAGGCGAGACGGGCCCTGCCCTCAGCCGCCCGCTCAACATGGCGGCGCGTGACGTCACGGGCACCCGCAGGACCGCCTCCCCGTGACGTCACGGGCACACGCAGCGTTCCCTCTCCGCCTCGTGACGTCACACGCACACACGGCACCCATTCCGTGACGTCACGAGGACGCACATCGCCCCAGTGACGTCACGAGCGCCCCCAGCCCACTCCCGTGACGTCACGGGCGTCCACCGCGCCCCCTCCCTGTCCCCGCCTCCCCGCCAGGCCCCCGCCCCGCGAGGCCCCCGCCCGGCCGGGCTGCCCCGACCCGTGCCTGTCTCCACCGCCGCGCTCCCGCGGCCGCCGCTCGCCCCGTCCCGCCCTCATCCCGCCCCGTCCCACTGGCCCGCTCCGCCGCTGTCCCGCCCGGCCCGTTCTCCCTTGGCTGGTGTTGGCGCGGGCGCGGCGGGCGGCGCGGCGAGTGGTGCGGCGCGGGGGGCAGCCCGCGGGCGGGGGGGCCGGGCCGGGCGGTGGTGCCGGGGTGCCGGAGCGGCCGCGATGCCGCTGTTCGCCCCCAACCCCTTCGAGCAGGATGTGGGTGAGCCGCGGGACGGGGGCGAGCACCGCGCCGGGACGGGACGGGACGCGACGGGGGGCGGCGGCGGCTCCCCCCGCTCCGTCCTCTTCCCTCGCTCCTGCCCCGTGTCCCCCCGGGGTCGGTGCCGTTGTGGAGGGGCTGGAGAGCGACCGGGGATGCTGGGCATGAGCCCGGGTGGGCAATGTCACCTGAGCTGTGCCAGCCCCAGGGCAGGGCCCGTCTCGCCCCCAGGGCTGGGGCACTTCTGGGACCCCAGCGAGGACACGGAGGGGCTGGAGCGTGTGCAGGGAAGGGAACGGAGCTGGGAAGGGGCTGGAGCAGCAGGAGGGGCTGAGGGAGCTGGGGGGGCTCAGCCTGGAGAAAAGGAGGCTCAGGGGGGACCTTCTGGCTCTGCAATCCCTGACAGGAGGGGGGAGCCGGGGGGGGTCGGGCTCTGCTCCCAGGGAACAGGGACA